GCAAACCGCGTCGCGGTGTCGCGCAATACATACGAGGGAAGCAATCGTTGGAGGGCGCGACAAAGCTGTAGCTGAATGCGTCTGCCGATGGGAAAGGGTCTGCGTCGTGCTGTCGCAGCGGGTTGGTGTCTTCGGAGGATGTCGGTCGAGGCTGCCCATGAGAGGCTTGCGCCGGGCCTAATCCTGCTGCACGTGGGTCTTGGCCGCCCATCTCCGCATCAAGGTCCGACGGCGCCGATGCGAAAGATGAACTCAACTCTCGAGCCCGTTCCATTGACAGCTCCTCGAAATATTCTTCAAAACTGAAAGACGAGTGTCGCGATATCGGCAGATCGTCTGCTGTCTCACCTGGTGAATCCATTGTCAGTACATTTGCTCTGGGTACAGCAAGAGCGGGCGGTAGCGGTAGCGGTGCAGGCAATAGCAAGGCGAGGATAGAGTGCACAAGAAGGGCGAGGGCACCTCTACAAGAACGACGGGAGCCTCAGATCAGGTCATCAAAGGTGAGCCCGTTCCGGCACATTTGGCCGTCACTTTTTGGTAGGGAAAGAGCCAAGCACTGAAAGTTTCCACCCAGAACCGCGACCCAGGCCAATCGCAGGGCCCTTAAAGTAACCTATACGTGTGAATTACCTGCCAGTCCCACCGCTGAGGCCCTGGAGGACTTGACAGTGATATGCCCCCCAAGAAGAAAGCCCAACAAGGCGTGCCTGCCAGGCCAGCGGCGTCATCTGAACCAGCGAGACAACCCCCGAACTGGCCTGCCCTCGCTCCGCTCGTACCAGAAGAGGACCTTGCCCTGCACGAAGTGCTTCCGAAGCAGATTGTAACCATCTCTAACTTCTTCACGGCTTCGCTATGCAAAACCTACGTGTCTTTCCTGTCCTCGTTGCCATTGACGACAACGCCTGGAAAACCGAAGAAAGGCGACGCGGTGAGAGTGAACGACCGCTATCAGATCGATGACCCTGCGTTCGCTGAGCGACTATGGAACGACACAGGGCTAAGGAGGCTAGTCACCGCCGATGCGGAGGAAGGGGCGCTCGGCCTCACTGAAGCGCAGCGGGAAGAGCTGTGGGGCGGCGAGGTGGTGGGCCTCAACCCCAACATCCGTGTCTATCGGTACTCCAAAGGCCAGTTCTTCGACCAGCACTGTACGTCATGACTACTTGGTCACTCTGCCCAACTCATCGGACGGTCGTGACGAAACCCATGCTAATGGAGCCAGATGACGATTCCAACAATGTGACTATTCAAACTCCTGGATCACCGCCTGTGTCGACGCGCACCACCTGGACCTTGCTGATTTACCTCACCTCACCGGCCACGGGATGCATCGGTGGAGAGACTGTCTTCTACCCGGACCCGCCTAAGAAGAAGAGCCGAGACCTTCCACCCGAGCCTTTCGTTGTCGACCTTGAAGTCGGCCTCGCGCTGCTGCATCGACACGGCCCCGACTGCATGCTGCACGAAGGACGCGAGGTAACGAACGGAGAGAAATGGGTCATCAGAAGCGATCTATGTGTCAAGCGTTGAGTCCACATGGCTCTCCGGTACCGCGTTTCGTGGTCGCTTCTTCTTTCTCCATCCGTGAACACCAACGTCCACTTTTGGAAATCGACGACCACCTCTGCGTCAACAAGCCATACTTACGAGACTGCGTGTATTATGCTGAAGTCTGTCGCGTCGTGTACTGCTGCAGCATGTGGCTGTGTATCTTGCGTACTCACTTGCAGATGCGATAAGAGTATCCTTCTTCTACAGACTACGCTGCAGTCCTGTGTTCCATATCTCTAAAACGTAAGAGATCAGGATATCAGGTTAGTATGTCTCTTAGAGAGCACGACAGGTGCACGCACGTAGGTGTGGCACAGCGTGAAAATGGTATCGCTATCCGTAATCCTGTCGCACACCAGCGCTGTGCAGTCGACGAAAGCGGTGGTAAATACTTACAGTGAAGTCATATAAGACGTAACATGGCTACAGCTGTCGTACCATGCGGCAGGAGTTTGAACGAAATACAACCGTGGTTCCAGTTATCGTCTGGTTCGCTTTCCATGTGTGGTATTCGCAACCTGGCATATTTCACACCCCCACAGTAGCTTACCGCACATTCCAATATTGCAGAACACCCCTTTTTTGTCTTCAGGCGCTTCACCAACCTCCTCGATACAATCTCTTTTGTTTCCTGGCTCTTCAAGCTTTCGCTGCTCATAAGACGGTCCTTTAGCAACGTCTATACATCCTCTACCCGTGTACTTCGACACAAATGAACGAGCCGGCTCCTCTCGATCCATATCGACATCTTCATCGCGGCTGATACGCTCAGCAAGCTTCCACGGGGGCTCGAAATACGAACAGAGTGGCGACGGCGCGTTCTAAAGCACGAAAGCCAACGTCGGCTGCAGTTAACAAAATACGAATGTTCATGCTCGATGTTTGGATTGGGTTTCAGCCTATCCTCGCTTGAGGCGGAAGACGAGATGGCCTCATACTCTTGGCGATTCATCGTCGGTTTCATCTCGGCGCTTTAACGCAACAGGGATTAGCTTACGGATACGCCCTTCCAACATCCCGTTTCATCGCCCTCGACTCACGCCTAAGACTTCCGATTGAGCTATCGCCGGCGTCTACAATGAGTGGGGAGGGTAGGCGCCACCAGGAACGACAGCCTCGACGTTTCGGTGTGGGCCGGCACGTTTGACATGCGAGTACATCTGTACGGAGGCCGCTGCTGCCTTTGGCTCTCCAGCTGCGCTCACTTTCGTTTCTAATATCAAATTCCACGACTGACCTGGTGTCACTTATTCTATTGATCGACATGATGGAGCCACAACACCATTACGCAGATGTACACTCACAGGACCATCACCATGATGACGACTCGTCGACAGAGGTCGAATCCTTAGTTGGAGGAGAGAAGCAATGGGCAGCTGGCGACTATCACAGAAGAACACCATCATCACGAAGGAACATATTGTGCCCACCGCTAGTAGCGGCGATGCGATGGGTGCTGGTGATAGGACTACAACTCGTAATCATTGGGCTCTTGGCTAGAGACCAAGGCATGCTGGACTCGACAAGATGGAAGGCTCGATCAACAAGCGCAAACGATGTTGGTGGCGACATCACCGGGTGGTCACCACATAGTAAGACTTGCTGTATGAACCAGTCCTGTACATCGACTAACAGAATTGCAGTTCCTACGCAGATCACCAAGTTCGAGATTAACCAGACATTCGCGCCATACAACACATCAGAGTTCTTTAAGCCAGAAGTACTTCGAGCATGGAACGAGCTATTGCCTGGTATGAATTCCTCAGACTTCACTCCATAGTGAACACCTCACTAACGTCAAACGCAGTCGGCATGGGCTTCCAGAGCATCCCCGATCCAGAGAACTATCACGACCTCCCCACCCCCATCGTCTGGCCCAACGCCACGGTCTTCACGACATCAATGACCCACCAACTTCACTGCCTCTACGCCGTCGTTGCCGTCTACTCCGGCATGACATCCGGCCACGAGCTCGAGGAAGACCACCACTGGCACATGATCCATTGCTTCGACTACATGCGCCAAGCTATCATGTGCAGCGCAGACATGGCTCTCGAGGGATTGGAGACGACTTTCCCTGATCACAACGGTGGCAGTGATGGCTGGGATAGCAAGCATGTTTGCAAAGATCCCAAGATGGTTAGGCAACGGTTGGAGAGTGTGAGGGCTTATGACGACCAGGAGATCTTTTGAATGGGTCGTACTTCAGCACACGTTAGTGGTCATGTCGTTGTTGAGGGGCTATTGGGTCGTTCATGCATCACACCAGTAACAATTAGACTTGATCGTTATAACTTCATATATAATATACACTTTCTTGTACAAGCCGCCAGTATCCGAGCATCGCTGTAATTACCGCCAACATCTCGAAAGCCTGCCCATAAACCCATTGGATCACGCCACTAGCTACTAAACACGTCTAAACCCCACATGACGGGGAAAGAAAAAGACGAGATGTTTCATATCGGAACGGAAAGTAGTGAATTCACCGATAGCTTGGGAGGTACTTGCTACCTTTTCAGCCTCCAGACAATATATCACGAATTATCCTGGAGGTTCTCACGGTTTCCCACAATAGCCCACGTCTTTCCATGTGCCACTGGAGTACATCACGCCTACATATACTCGATCATTCCAAAGGACACTACACCCATGTATTCATCAACACCAGCATGATAATACCTATCTTCATTGATCCAGATACAAAATTTGCTTCAACTGATGGACCCCTAAGCGAAAAGTTAGTTCTATCATTGTATATTGACTCATGTCAGTACTCTGTGTGCGTTGGTGTGATCATGCCTCTGTCAAATCAGACGTACAGTTCAAGTCGGGTGTGGCAGTAGTGAGCAGGCAAGACATCTGTAGGCCAGGAGGTAGTCAAGTCGATTTAGATAGACAAGCTATTAGATAAAGGGGTGTTGTAGATGCCTGGGCTGTTCTATCTGTATCGCATTATAGGTTGATGAGGCTATGTCTTCTGCAACCCCACTCAGGGCGCGAGATCTTGCACTACTAACTAACATTGTTTCTAGCTGAGCTATGCTGGGGAAGACGTTCGGTAGGAAGGAGTCGTTGAACATTGCGCACGATGCAATGTGTCATAGCATCTGTATTTCTTCCATCTCCGCATGCGAAAGAAATGTAATCTATAACATTGGAGAGTCATAGCCGAGATGTGTTGCATCTTACTGACGCGTTCAGATGTCGTACTCAAGTTCCGCGTGAACAAAGTCGAACGGCGCATGTTCGCGACGTGAATCTTTGCAAACCACGTCGAGCATGTTCACACAAACAGTCATGTCAACTCTTGGATCGACCGGCAGGCAGCATCACCCTCCCACATCTTCCAACATCAACTTCCGCTGCAGATCTTGCACTTGTACTCCTGAACTCTTTCGCAGCCTCTACCGTCGCAAACTCAGATCGCGCATATCTCCACGATGAACGCGACACCAGCCCCTTCGAAGCCCACACCAGCGCCTGCATCGCCAGCTAACCCCCTCCACCACCTGGTACCAGGCTATCCCAAGCTCGCCGGACGCATGGAAGTCATGCCCGAAATCGCAATGTTCAGAAGATTCGGCGCCTTGAACGCGCGCAGCCTCCTCTACTACCAGAGCGAACTCGCACATCTTGAGGACCAGCTGAAAGAACTGGAAGCTAGAGATGCGAACAGCCCAGATGGCAAGAAAGCCACGTACAGTATGAACGCATTCTGGCTCAACACTGCGGATTTCGAAGTGAACGGCGAACCCCGAGACGGAGATATGAGGCAACGCGAGCTTGTGCTGCAAATTAGACGTGTTCTCAAGGAATATAGTACGGTGAGTCCGGTAGAGGAAGAGAGTGACTTGCTGACATGACTCAGACGATGCACTCATCCAACAAGCCACCATACTCCGCATCATGAAAGAGCCCGATCCTTTCGACCTCGATCACATCCAAAAGTTCATCGCCGCGGATGAAATGAAGAACGACGTATTCATCGGGCCTGATCACAACACATGGGGTTCACTGGAAAAGCCTGAAGACTATAGCAGAGATCTCGTCGTACTGCGTGGGCGACAAGACATGGATACCTTCTCGCGCTATATTGCTGCAAGAGCTATGCATTGGATCGTGAAGCTCGGCGGCGACCGCTGGAAGAAGGTCGACGTGAGATGGGGAACTATTGCCATTGATGATGAGACTATCCTATTGTTTACTTTCGGGGTTACTTGCGCTGTTGCTTCGGCTTTGCTGGTCATTCCGGTTATCATGATCGTGGGCAAGGAATCTCTGAGCGAACAGCTTGTGATCATTGCGGCTTCCAATGTGCTCACTGCGGTTTGCTTGGGGTACTTCACTCGAGCGCGGAGGATCGATGTTTTTGCTGTTACAGCTGCGTGAGTAACATCACCATCGCGTAGCTACAGAAACCGTTGACTGACATAGGTGTAGGTTTGCGGCGGTTCAGGTCTTAGCCATAGATGCGAAACAGTAGAAAGAGCCAGTGCTTGTGCCTTTTCGGGCTTCGTGACAATGATGCCAAGAGGTGCACATTGTATTTTAACTCTTATCATTCCTTGCTACAATACAGCTTTGAGGATTGCGTTATTATGTTTAGAAAAATCAGAACGCCGTGTCTTTGACAATGTCACCTGATGAACACCATAAAGCTAGCAATCCTTCATGGGCGATCCGGGTCCGTAACACATATAAAGTTCTGCTTCGATGAATATGAGCTTTAGAGACACCTACATTTCTAATTCTGTTCCTAATTCATTGTTCATGAGCGTCTACAATCTTATCCTATAGTAGTTGTAGAACGTGGAGAACATCTCTCGCACGATACCGCCATGCCGGCCCGTTTGCTGGTAGTGGGTGTGCTCGGAAGTCAGCTGGCCTACAGTGTAGACAGTCTTTCGGCCAATTCGTACCATCGTGCTCGTGAACATACTCACAGACTCTACAACACCAGCCGATGAATGTAGTATCGTGGCGTTCTTCGAGGTTTCCGATCTTATCAATGTCGTCAAAGGGGACAAGTACAACGTCCGCACATTCTGCGCAGAGTTGACGATGGCGCACACGGTTGGGACCTAGGACTAGTGGTACGGTCTGGTGTTGGCAAGACCTACAGGTCACTCCAGCGCGGGTGCTCCTCCGATAGTTATTGAAACGTCGACAGCGTCCACCTACGTTGCTCAGCAGTAACTGACATACCCAGCCCCTTTTCCATCCTCTTGCAAGCTTTCGCAAATCACTCATCGTCTGATGAGCTTGTGACGAAGCGGGATTAGGGTCTAATGCTGCAGTGAGTATTTAATCATTTGATCTAATTGGAGTGGGATTCTTACTAGGAACCCAGGGCAACTCGCGTGAATACTTAGTACTGGAGTGAGAGGAAGGATTCACCATCTTGATGCGTTCAGACGTTATGCTCATTCAAAGTGTTCTCTACCTGAAATATGTAGGTGTATCAAAGCCTTGCAAGCTACAACAAGCTACTGATCGTCTTCTGAATCATGCGCTGGAAAAGCTGACAGGATATCAGCGATCGCTTGACGTGTCTTTGCGCTTTAGTCGTCACCGCCATCTTTGCGTGATTATCTAGACACAAAGTTAGCATCCACGACGTTGTCGCCACTGTCATGTCATGTATGTTTGTCTCAAGTCTCTCACTCAGTCTTGAGATAACATATCTGCAGCGCCCAGCTCAATTTTCCATAAAACTCACCCGTGATTATGGATGAGAAGGCGAAACTGATATCTATGTTGAGTGGTTGACAGTGCTTTAGGAAGTCAACGTCGTGTGGCATACACTTGTTGTCTGCTTTAGTGACCTTGTAGTGTGTATGGCTCACGCGTTATAAGCGTCGATGTCTTTCACAAACTGAACAGAGCTGGTATGAAGGGACAGCATCGCAGCATCAACAACGTCTTAGCGTACTGATCGTGTATATTTCGACATTCCCATGCAGTAGACCTTTGCTAGTGCTTGGCAAAATATACGACCTAGTCATTTGAGTTCTGTGATGTTGTGGAGGGTTTCACCAGGAACGCGACGTGCGACGCTACCATGACCGGTCACTTATTTGATAGGATGATTGCCGTCGTGATACGTTGCGCATGTCCACAGCCTCGAGGCACAGCAGATCAGTGCTTACTAGCCCCATATATTGCTATATAAGGAATCTTGATAGCCTGAACGATGTAAGTTCAGCCGAAACTCCCAGACATCCAGTTTTACGTCAAGCTACATGCAGCAGTCAAAGATGACAGGCGAAAAACTAGGTCAATCGAAGAAGACACGCTTGGCCTCCTCACAGTCATGGCAGAACCATCCAATAGGGTACCCACGCTTATCGGAACGCATGGGTCTGAAGCCCGAGACACTAATCTTCCGCAAGTTTGCTGCACTCAACGCGCGCATGCTATTATACATGCAGGCGGAGCTCGCTATACTCGAGAAGACGCTGCAAGAGGTGGAAGTAAGCGACCATGGAGACAAGGATGCCAACAAGCGGCAGTACGCAACAGACTATGTCAAACTATCGCAGAGTGACAGAGATGGTGATACTTATCAGCTGGAGTTAGTAGAGAAGATTTCTGCGAAACTGGGAAAGTATAGTAAGTCAATCGGAGCTGTACTACGTGCACTCTTTGTATATACCTCTTGACTGACCCGCTATAAAGACAAGGCGCTGCTACAGCAGTACAAGCTCCACCAAATTCCCGAGCCCGACCGATTCGATTTGAACGACGTGTATCGCCTGTTACATAGTGATGCCATGGGGGGTGGCGAGCTGTCAGGCGAGGACCGTGTGTTTTGGGGCTTACCTGACGATTCAGAGATGCACGCTCCTGATCTGATTGGTGTCTGCCCCCGCGAGCAAGCCGACCCGTTCTCTCGCTGGGTATCAGAGAATGCCATCCATCTCTTCAAATGCGGTATTGGGCGCCTAAAAAAAGCCGACAAACATTTTGGGCGCAGAGTCTATTACGACACCACTGTTTTGAGAGCGACGTCGTGGATGACGTCCATATTGGCTTCTCTGTTGCCAATCGCGTCGATACTAATTCTCTTGCATTTGGATTCGTTGAAGATGAAGCTTTGGGTGATCGGCGCGTTCAACGTACTGCTGAGTGTCTGCTTGAGAACGTTGACTGAAGCCAAACGCGCTGAATTGTTCGCTGTGACTGCCGCGTAAGCAATGAGCTCTCATCGATGACACGCGCTGACAGACTCAGGTTCGCTGCTGTACAAGTTGTTTTTGTCGGAACCGATCGCAACACATCTGCCAGCTAGCCGTGGTTGAGGCACACATGGTGTCAACATCGATCTGGGGTTTCAGGAGCGGGTAGACAGCTGGAGACAATGCCCGTGGACCGAAAGGGAAAATCGCTATAAAGGCTCATATACTACTACATGGGCAAATTGTTCAATAGTAAACCTACCGTTAGTAGCTTGTAGGCTCCAGATCTTGCTACAACATGATTCGCGTTGCTTGTTATCTCGACGTACGCGCCAGCTCGAACTTGATTTTGGTGTACACGATGAACCACCGGTGATGTTGATGCGAAAGCTGCCCTTGGACGGACATGGTGGAACCCTGCTGGGAAACTCATGGTGGCTAACAAGTAGAATACATCACGATCGTGTCTAGACATAACAACGTGCGCTAATGTGTAGTCCCCGTGTATGCAGGCAGTGAGGTAACGGCTGATGGAAAGTACTGCAGTCAATTGCGGGTAAGAACAACTCCGCATCCGAGCCTTCCACGCCAAGGCGCCAGTGACGCTAAGCCCCCGCGTCTTCCATCTCATCTCGCGCGAACACCAACCGCGCCCTTGCCCTCCATCTAGGATCGTTGCACGGCACATACGCAAGCATCTTATAGCTGAAACAAAACCGAATGTTGTTACACAAGCCCGAAGCGAGAACCTGTCACACCTCATACGCTTTTGACTCAATGCTAACAATCTCGCCTACATGACATACTCAACGCGACGCGAAGCACTAGAGCTCATTTTATAGTCGCGCCGATGACATGCACCCCGGATGAGCGTTTCGCAACCCATCCACATGCTAAGAGCCTCAAGACTGACCCAAGACCAACCCCGCAATCTGGCCACCCCGCCGTTGCACGCCCAGACAAGCTGAGCACTGACGTTCTCGGTGTCATTACTGGATGACAGATCTGTGCTCATGCTTCGACCACGAGCATCATTGGACAATCCCACGTTTGGCTTCTCGGCATGACAGCGGTGTCGCAAAGCTGGCGACGTTGGCACTTCGGTGGTAATATGGCGTCAGGAGCAGTATCCCGTCGTGGAGGTTTCTCCTTGTTCAAGGCTTCTTCACTTCGTGCTTGGGTCTTCTGATTACTTGGTTGGATCTCATTAGACCCTGTTCCTTGTCTACTCGCTCCATTTGGGTCCGTATGCGACGCGCCAAAAGATCAATAGGCTTTCTGTCTGCCGGGTTTGTGATGGAGATGGAACGCACGGCATGCCCAGCCACGACACCCCGAGCTCTTGGGAAGCTTCGCCCTGGCTGTAATCCGGAATTTGCCTCGGTCTCCATCGTCATCGCTCCAGTATAAGTGGATGTGTGATAAGAGAGATGATCCGCAGCTGCTCTTGTCCCTGCGACGATCCTCCCCTGTCTTCTTGAGCCTTTTCCACGGTGCAGAGAACTCCGGATATTCTGCCCATCATGAACAGCGACGACGATTACAAGCAAGACACTGTTCATAAGGAAGCGATCAGTCCGACGGCGACGGACAACAACGTCTCGGACTATGCCTACGACCAGATCGAAGAGAAGAGGTTGGTGCGTAGAGTCGACTGGAGGCTGCTACCTATATTGGGTGCCCTGTACTCCATCGCGCTCATAGACCGCACAAACGTCAGTTCAGACGCCTTCCGTCCGCGTCTAGACGAAACGCTTACCAGCAGCAGATTTCCAACGCCCGAGTTGCTGGAATGGGACCGGACCTCAACCTCCAAATTGGAGATCGATACACCATTGTCCTGGTTCTCTTCTTTCCGACATACTTCCTGCTTGAGCTTCCATCTAATATCGTCCTTCGTAAGGTGGGCAGCGCGAACTGGCTAGCTTTCATCGCCGTATCATGGGGTGCTGTCATGATCGGACAGGGCTTCGTCGAAAGCTGGATTTCACTTGCCATATGCCGTGTATTACTCGGAGCTTTCGAGGCTGGGTTCTTCCCAGGATGTGTATATCTCATCACTTGTTGGTACCGCCGCTATGAGACACAAAAAAGGTATGCGACCTTCATCAAACCAAATGCATGGTAGCAATGGCTTACCAAGAATGCAGACTGGGTGGCTTCTATCTCTTCTCTGTCGGTATCGGTGGTCTCGCGAACATCCTTGCGTATGGTCTCATGCAAATGGAAGGTGTCGGTGGTCTCCGAGGCTGGAGATGGATCTTCATCATAGGTAAGCAGAAACCACTACCAATTCCTATCTAGGTCTTCTCTTCACATCACACTTCGCATCAATCTGAGGCTTCTTGAGCTTTGTTGATTCTCCCCAAGTAATACTGACACTCAGTGTAGAGGGCATCTTGACCTGCATTGTTGCGATTGCAGCATGGTTCATCATCCTGGACTTTCCCGATAAAGCCGAAAAGAAAGGGTTTCTCACTTCCGCTGAGGCCGCTGTCATCATGCAGCGTATCGAAGATGATCGAGGAGATTCGGTAGCGGATCCATTGACCTGGGCCAAATTCGTTTACCACTTGAAAGACCTCAAATTGTGGGCCTATGCCACGTTATTCATGTCGACAACCATGCCAGCCTACGCCTTCAGTTATTTTCTCCCGGTCATTCTTCTCGGCATGGGATATTCGCCTGGTCAGGCTAACGCCCTATCCGCACCTCCGAGTCTGTTTGCGATGTTCACAGCCTTTGGGTTCGCATGGCTAGGAGACAAATACCGTCTTCGCGCTCCCGTGATTGCTGCGCAATCGATTCTTGCCATCATCGGTCTCATGATCGTAGCATATGCTAAGAACAACGGGGCAAGGTACTTTGGCTCATTCCTAGGAGTATGTGGCTGCCAGGGTAATGTCCCGGCCATTCTTGCGTACCAGAGCAACAACATTCGTGGCCAAAGTAAGCGGTCCGTCGGAAGCGCTCTCCAGATCGGCTTCGGTGCAATCGGTGGTATCCTCGCATCAACGACTTTCGTTCAGGAAGAAGCCCCAACATACATTACCGGTCTCTGGGTCACGGCTGGTCTTCAGATCTACATCCTGCTAGTGCTGTGCTGCACTACGACGTACTTCTTGAAGAAGAATAAAGTGGTAGATAAGCAGAGGGCTAATGGAGAGCCGATGGACGAGAATGAAGGCCAGGCTGGATTCAGGTATACCATATAAGCAGTGGGGAGGATGGATGCGTGTAGGAATGTTCTTTGCGCATCGCGTCTTGTGGTCGAAATCTCTTACAGTTCGTCTAAGTGGTGTCAACGCAATACTAGCTTTTAATGAAGCCTTCATGAGAATGCAACACTCAAGTCCCTGTCCTTGCGAGCAAGCCTTACAACCTTGAAAAGACGGTGGGATGGAAATAGATCCTTGCCGTATGCGGAATAGCGCGACACGGTGATGACGTTTACCGCCGGACCCCTTCGCGTCGCAGGTGATGCCCATTCATCTGTTTCAGACCAAGATAGCAACGCCTCAGTCAGCGACGCAACATGCATCAGCTACTACTAGTCGCCCTACAGCCTCGTCATTCGCACATTTTCTCTTTCCTTTTTTGACTTCCAAGACTTCGATACCCAACTTTGTATAGCTCCTAGTAATTGTAGTCGCTAATCGTTACTTTCACCATCATTCGCAGCCGGTCTCGAAAACACCACGATTTTTCTATCTTTAGCCCTACCAGACGAATAATCGAGCACCCCATTGCCAGGAGACTGATCTCTTACGCGTCCCCGAAATCGCGCTTCCACGATGAGCGCAAAACACAACCTCCACGTCGCGCACCATCTTCCAAGCCACATCTCCCCCGCCTCGGTCGTAGCGGCGCTGCATGACCACGACACGACCCTCACACTCCAAGCCCTTAGCTGTGGCTACGAGACAGCACCCAGCACTGCCGAAGCGACCCTCAAAGATACATATTGGTATCCGCCCGACCAATACCCTGTCGCAACATACCACGTCAGCGAGTGTATAACCTGGTTCCCGGGCATCGGGCAGTACGGGAAGAAGTACATAACCTTCCCAGTCTGTTACCAGAACACGAGACAGGGCATAAAGACGCGCGCGGATGCGGCGGCGGGCGTAATACTGAGGGCTGAATACAGGGTCGTTGCGAACGGCGAACTGGGCAGCGAGGTTGAGGGTGAGGGCATGGGCGTCGGGGACGCGCAATTTGTTCTCGTAGAAGACGTGGAAGTCAGCTGCGCATGGTGGCTTATGCCCTTCGTAAAGGGCAAGATGGAAGAAGGACACCGAAACCTTTGTAGGATGGTCATCGAGAAGGTAGAGAAGATGGTAAGCGAGGGGTGGGAAGGCCATGATCCTGTGGCATTTGGTCTACATGGTGTTGCGAGCCGGCACGACAGCAGGATAGAGGGTATGGAGGATGTGAACACAGGGTTTGCGCAGGAGACGAGGGAACATTATGGGAAGCCACAGCCGGTGGTGTTTGGGCAGACACATCAAGATGTACCACGATACGCAGACGCGGATGCGATGGAGGAGGAGCGGCCGCACCTGCCCGCCGGGCCGCTACCGGAGAAGGTTATCTACGGATAACTTTTGCGCGCAGGCTACAGAACTTGGAGTAGCAATGAACGCACGTAGAAACCGTAGACCACTCCACCAAGAGTGAAAGTATGTCACGACCCTGTGATCAGACAGGGCAATAGTAATGACGGGAAGCGAAAGGCAATCAACGCGTGATTGCATCACACAACCTGTAACTAATGAAACCACATCGACTTCTCCCGACCCTCCCATCACCAACTTTACAAAGACATGACGCCCTCGACTACTCAACTACCCTTACGCCTCGCACTCGCGCTTCTCCTGCCCCTCTGGGCGCGTTCGACGACCCAGGATGAGGTGTGGGCAGTCTTTCTCCTCACGGCTTTGCTTTCGATACTGGTGTATCAAACGCGCTTCGCTATCGACTTTTACCTCGCTAAATGCGCCATGGTAGCGGTG